CAAGTTTTCCTGGCACTGGAAACCAAATTCACTTAATTACAGCCCTGGTAGAGTTATGGTTTTTCTTAAGTTTATTTATTTATTTTGATAGAGACGGAGACAGTGAGAGCAGGGGAGGGGCAGAGAGAGGGAGAGGGAGAGGGAGAGGGAGAGGGAGAGGGAGAGGGAGAGAGAGAGAATCCCAAGCAGGCTACGCACTGTCAGCACAGAGCCCGATGCAGGGCTTGAACCCGCAAAGCCAGGACATCATGACCTGAGCAGAAACCAAGAGTCAGATACTTAACCGAATTAGCCACCCAGGCGCCCCTAGAGTTATGATTTCTTAAAGGGACCAAGTCAGGTATAAATAAACATCAATATTATTAGTATCAAATGGCCATGTTTACAAGCTACGATTACATTTTTAATATTATGGATAGATTGGTTGTTTTAATGCTTTATATGAAATAAAGTTGCATTTTCTTAGACATCAGATATAGAACTTCTTAAATATCCATTTTATAGAACTGGAGCATGAAGCTGCAACTATTATCCTTTAATAAAATATAAACACATCAAATACTGTCGAACTGTGCAGGCATTTTTGTATGAAAAAAACACTTAATCAATACGTCTTAATCTACTCTGATAATACAATGTGCCGCAGTACAGAGAGTGACAGAATACAACAGGGCTAACAAAATGTACCAGGTTATTATTTGGTTACTGAATCAAAGGCTCTTGCACTCAAAGCAGTAATCCTTATGATAAAGTTGAAGAAAGTTGCCCATTGCCAGTGGAGACCAATCCATAGGAAATGAACCTCACACTCACCAGTAAAGAGAACCTATGAGTGGCATAGTTTCACCATCAAACAAATTGGCTCAGAGCTAGCTGCAAAAGTATAATCTGTAACGTAAACATTAGCTTCAAATATAAAAAGTTAAATGGCATTTGGTATTTATTTGCCCTAAGTATGTATTTCCAGGACCAATGTCACAGCCTTAGAGTAGTTATCAAGTCAGCTTATATAAAGCTCCAGACTGTATTTAAATTTTTTTTTAATATGGCTAAAAATAACCTCACATGTGAAGATACAGAGAAACAAACCCTACATACACTGGAGTATCAATGTTAAAAAAAGACCCAGAAAAAGTAAAATTTTAACTAGAGCAAATGTAAAGTACAAATTGTAGCCTTTTGTGGTCATAATTTTAAAAACCAGCTTGATGGATTATTTGATTAGAATCACAACAGGCCCACAAGGATGATGAGATTAAACAATAAAGAAAATCTCAACGGTTTTTAAACAGAAAGCAGATTTACGAGAAAGATAGAGAAAACCCCTCATCATGATAGGTTTTTTTCTGACTGATTCTAACGGCCCAATATTTGGAAACTATATCACCTGAAAGTAAAATAAAATGTGAAATAGTACTTGGTTGTGAATAATTATAACAGGAATACAGAAAACAGTAACAATATAAACTGAGTCCAAAGCAACAATTACAGGCTGATGTCAAAATGGACTGAGACAGGGGTCAGCAAAATTCTTCCATAACGGACCAGACAGACAGTAAACATCTAGGCTTTGTGAGCCCTACAGTCAGTGTCTGTCACAGTGTCCGTTCTGGGCTCTGCCATTGTCGCTTGAAACCAGTCACATGCTATATGTAACAAGTAGGCAAGGCTGTGTGCCAGTAAAACTTTGTTTATGGATGCGGAAATTTGAATTTCACATGTCACAAAATATTATTATTATCTTGATCTTTTTTTCAACCATTGAAAAAAATAAAAACCATTCTCAGCCTTCGAGCCATGCAAAAATTGGCAGGAGGCTGGATCCGGCCTGTGGGACATAGTATGGCCAACCTCCGGTCTAAGGCATCGCAGAACCAGGCTATGCACGAGGGAACACACGCAAATACACATGTGAGAAAAAACCCAATAATATTTTTTTAATCTTTTTTTTTGAAAGTTTATTTTTATTTGTTTTGAGACAGAAATAGAGAGCAAGTAGGAGGGGGTAAAGGCAGAGAGAGAGGGAGAGAGAATCTCAAGCAGGCTCTGCACTGTCAGTGCAGAGCCCGACATGGAGCTTGAACTCAGGAACCATGAGATCGTGACCTGGGCCGAAAGCAAGTCAGATGCTTAACTGACCGAGCCACCCAGGTGCCCCCAACCCAATAATATTTTGAGTCAAAGGTTTAAAGAAATTAACCCTCAGGAAGCTTTGGTTGTATCTGATTTTGCCACCCACTTACACTGACAAATTCATAAAACTAATTTTGTTTTAGTGTAAGAGAGCCAGCCTTGGAATTTGTTTTTGAAATAGATAAGTCATGTTATACACATTAAAGCAAAAGGAGGAGAAGAAACCCTTGCAACTTAAATAGCATTTAAAGCAGGTCATGGCTGTAAGGTCCAAACACATGGGAAACTCTGTTTTAAAATCCATACCTTAGGACACTATATGCAAAGTTTGTAAGATGATGTTTCCTAATTTCTAACGATAAAATTTCATTAAGAATTTAACTTCTCACCTTAGGCAGATAGGTTAGCGGAGCACCAGTCCATAAGGGCTTGCTGCTCTTAAAACGCTGCGAGTCTATACAACACTCAATTATATAAAAATACAATTAGATTGTTCCCGAATTGTATTTTTGTAACTCTCTTTCCCAACCACCTAAGTTCCTAGAGAGAAAGACTCATTTCTTATAATCTCTCATCCCCCACAGTAATCAGCATCATGATTAGCATATACTCAAAGTGCTCAAAGGAATTTTTTTTTAATGGCTAAAGTTCATTTAATGAACAGGAGGGAAAAAATACCATCCTATGTTATAGCAAAAATTTAGTTAGCCTGATGGAACAACTACCAATGTTCAAAAATCTCATCTGGACCCATGCCCACTGACATTGTCAGAGGCCCGCAGACACCCAACCACCCAAGTATCGCCACAGTGACCTGCACTCTGTTTGGGGATGGCCGTTGAGGGCACACATTTGTAACTATCAAAAATCAGATGGAACTGACAAACAAGCTGGAAGGCATAACCTTCAGAGATCTCAAGTGACAAAGGGCTAAGTATTCCATTAGTCAGTGGAAGCAGAATAAATTCAAGCAGAATGTATAAATGCCCCCATTTCATTCTTCCAAAGGCAGAAGAGCTTTCAAAAGCCAGAAGTTTGCAAAGTTGCTTCCTCTTTGTTCTTTCATTTATCCAACCAATTGTTCCAGGATACAACTGGTCTTTGATCTTTATTACCATTTTTATAATGGCCTAGGCTAGGAACCCATCCTTTCTACATTTAGAACTTGGACATCTTGGCCTGAGATTCTACTGTGGGAAATCAGAAAGAACTGAAGGACAAGATGATGGCAAGAAATGATACCTCTCCCTCCGTTTATAGAAGGGTGTAGGTCATCATGTAACAAAAACAGAACCAGTGAAGGCTGAAAGAGATACTGCAATATTGGGGCTCCTTTGTAAAAGTCAATTTTTCCAAGACCATCTTCAAACTAAAGGACCACAATAATTACCTCTACTGCCTAATGTGAAAAATTACAACTTTTTTTAAAACCATATTAGAAGATAATGAGAAAAGCCCGAGTCACTCTTGTGGAGAACTCTCCCAGGACTAAATCTGAGCACCCTCTCATGGCCTCAGCCATCCCCCAACTCTCTGGACACAGGCTAGATCCTCAAGAGAGAACAGGCAATGCCCAAAAGGCCTTCTGGGGTGAAAAGCCTGTTTAGGGAAGGCCATCCCTGCACAAGAAGTGCTGTCTCCCCACTCACTGGCCAGCATGAGAGCAAAAGCTGAAATTTGTAAAAACAAATCAAGTACCACTGTTTCAAACACAAGTCATATTCAAAAGCATACACACGTACAAGAGAAAAAGAGACACAGGAAAGGAGAATGTCAGCGGAGGGGACATAACCAAGAGCTAGAATCGTTTGAAGTCCAGCAAAGCCGTAGAGCTGAGAAGCTCAGTGTCCCCTTCTTTGAAGTTATAAGAAGTTAAACGTGCGAAGGAGAGGGCAAGAACATGGTGGGCATCCTGTTAATGCGTAATGAAGAACAACATGAAACTCTACTTCCTGTTGAAAAGCTACCTTTATAAGATGACCTACTCAATGCAATTATTGCTCCATCTGGGTGTATTACTGAAGAACTTTACAGTTACCAAGAGTCCAAAAATGTGTTTTATCTAAAATCCAAATCAGAACAATGTTTTGCATTTTGAATCCTGAATCCAGCATACTCATCACCCCTTTGTAACATAAATCAGCAAATCTAACCTTTTAGAAGGATGTCCAACATACCACCTGAAAAGGGTGGTCATTAAAATGATCAAGTTCAATGTGATTAACATTCACTCGTCACCAACTCCCTACTCTTCCTTCAAAACAGGAAGTTGAATTCTTGTTGGTGTTCCATGGAACAAATGTCTTTCACTCATGGGAAAATTTATTAAGCACTTCTTCCAGAGAAAAAGTATCCACATGTGTGCATCACCATTTTATCTTTGGTGCCAAGTGAGCCCCTGAGGCGACAAGATTTAAGTTATTCCCCAAGGTCTCCCATTTGTGAAGGAGACTTTGTTGTTTGGATTTCCCAGCTAGAGTTCCATCCACTAGATACACTTGCCAGAAGAGGCATCCATCTATTTCCCATATCTACTTCTTGGAAAAGGATCAACTGGGGAATTCCCATTAATCTAGCTCAGGTGCACCCAAAGATAAAGGAAGTAAACTTTAATTAAACTTGAAAGGAAGAGATACAAAGGTAAACTCTTTGTACATCATCACTGGTCCTCTTAATTGGACTATGGTACAATGGGAATGTACCAGTTAATCACCTTGAAGTGCCACACTCAAAGACCAACATCCCCACTCATTCCACCAATACCCAAGGAATATTTACTGTGATTAAGACTCCTGTGAAGCTTTGATTTTAAAAAGAAAATTTAATTTCTCAGTTTTAAAAAAGAAAATTTAAAACTACATGCAAACCTGAGGGCATCCACGGATCAGAAGTTGGTTTGGTCAAGGTGTTCACCTGCTCCCAGTTGAAGTCATCATCTTCGGCCTGACTATATCCACATGCGCTATGTGGCTCATCAAAGAGGCAACCACCTAAAATGTAAAAGAATGAAAAGCGATGTGAGCACCAAACAGACCTCTGGAACAAGCTATGATGATTGCAGGTCACTGTAAACCTACTTGATATTGAACCAAATTTGATTTGACCTTTGTGCTCAGGTACAATGGAACTTGACCCTACTGTGCCCTAAGTGCTGACTGTTAATCGAGAATATTAACCATGCCTTGCCAGTACTGCTACACTGTACTGTTCCCCCTCCAAAGAATCCAGTGTTCATATAATCCAATTGAAAGTTTAGACCTGAGCAAATTTATAATTCATATTTTCCAGATTTGCAGGAATTTGGAATAATTGATCTTATGTTCAAAACTTTAATAGGGTTGCCCTAGGCATTCAATGTGTTTTCAATAAAAACACATCATGATGTGTCCAAAAAAAATGAAAAGAGAAAGGCTTTCACCGCAATACTGGCACAATGTCAGGGGGAAAAAATACAGTAGAGACCATGAACATAGCTTGCAAAACATACTCTCTAAGGATTATTCTAAACCTAAGGTAAAAATAGGTTTCACTTTAACACTTTGGAGATTTGAGGCCTCAAAAGTAAAACAGATTATAAATTTGCTTACAGTCCACACGCTTTTTAACGGCAAGAATAAGTTCAAAACTAACCATGCGGTAAACATCTGCTTACTTCTGGTGCTAGAAATGAAGCTACTTAAAGAAAGAAAGAATAAAAGCAAATGCAATTTTACAAAGCAGTTCAGCTCTTTCAGCATCGTGGGGCACACTGATGATTTTCAGTCCCGCCCACATCCTCTTCAATGTCTCCTGTTACTTTGAATTGGTACGGTATCAAATCTTTTCACCAATGTTTCACGTTGCAAAAGGGAGTGATTTTACTGGTCATATTAATTACTATAAAAATTCTAATGTCCATTATATAACGCTATTAGTTATATTCATTAAAAGTATTACTTACAATTACTTGCCAATGAGGAGAATTAGGGCTCTGGTCAAGGCAACACAAAAATAAGAACATTATTGCACCATGTCTGCAGTGCAATAATACTATGTCTGGCAGCAAGACAATAAATAAAATAGCAATTGTACAAACTCAGAGGTAAAGACAGATGTTAGAGGTCACCTGGGGCCAACTTCCATCCAAATGCTTATGTCAAGTCTACAAGCTTCTAGACAGATCGACAGCTTTGAACCGGTGAGGCACTCAGGAAATTTAGAAAAGCATCCCTACCTTGTAGACAACCCCCCCCCTTTAAAAAGGCCCAAACTCTGCTTCTTCAAATGTATACTCATTGATCTTAGCTGTACCCTGTGAAGAAATAGGAAAAAAGGTCTCCGCTCTCACACAGGAAAGCTGATTATTTGAAAAGAGCTGTCATGTTCTAAGTCTTCACTTCTCCAGGCAAAACATGTTTTGCTCCCCTCAGTTCCTCCTACCAGAAGGCTTTCAGATTTTCACTGCCCTGGCTGGTGTTCTCTGGCTAGTCCCAGGGTTATCAGCACTCATCCAGAACAATGACTCCCAGTACTGGAGCCAGAATTCAACTGGCTGCTTCCCTGGACCTCATGCTCTTTCAACAGTCAAGGCAGAGTGGCGGTCCATTCCGAGCTTCTACAAGCCTAAAGTCCCGTATGTTTTTTTCATACCACTGCTGTTGGGCTATTTCCCCTCTCTTGCAATAAGACTTCCCGAATTTGAACTCAGGGCTGTACATGGATCCTTACTAAATCCCATCTCATTGTTTTCCATGCCTCACTCCAGCCTGTTAAGAGCTTTTAGAATCCTGATTTTACCATTCGGGTATTAGTCATCCTACCTAGACTGGGATTATCTGCAAACTTGATAAGCACACGTTCTATGTCTGCCTCCAAATCACTGATTAAAAAATGTTAAACAGGGCAGAGTCAAGGGACCTCAGACTGCTTTAGGTCTCTCCCAGCTTTCTAGCTTTGTCTTAGTTGTTAGCTTCAGGCATGACAGTGAAATTAGTGACCCTGGAAACTGTCTTCTGTGAAACTTTCACAGAACTGGTCAATTAAACATTCCACTGAAAACAGAAACTCATTACAAAGATACAGCACTAACTTAATATTTCACCTTGACAACAACTGGTAATTTATACTTCCCTCCTACTCAGCTTTAACAAGTTCAGAAACAAAGTGGATTTGGTTAAAAGCACATAATACTAACAACTTTCCAATTTGGGGTAAGAAATGTTAGAAGACTATGCAAACATCTAGGCGAAATATTTTCCCTTGATTGCAAACCCTAATTCTGATGCAGAAAATAGCTTCGGTACTGTAGGAATAAGCTCACACAGCAGTAACACTAATAATATTCAGACAGAAAGAAACCACCATGAATTTTGACAGAAACGGGGTCCCCCCATGGAAACACAGATAGCACTTTGATGAAAGTCCTGCAGTGCAATCTTGAACAGTGAAACATAGCTATCGGCATCCACAAAACAACTCGAAGCTGGTTAAAGACCTGGTTTACAAAACCACCATTGGCACTGAAGATATAACCAAATATAAAGGCAAAAGCATGCATGGCTGATAGCAAACCCCAAAGGCTGATACAAAAACCTGGTGCAAAGATATACTTTCCCATTACATAAAGCTGTTTTTATCACTTGAAAGGAAACATAAAATGTATGATATGGTTCTTTCTGGACCCATGTACGATTATCAAACCATTGGAAAATGGGATACAGTATGAATTTCCTACTGCCCCAAGATATATCCCCCCACACACCAATTTTCAGAGCCACCACTGGCTTCATCCAACAGATTTGAGACCCTAAAAATAGGAAAGGTAGTTTATTGAGCTAAAATGAGATGAGATTAAGGTGTTTACATCTGAATTAAACTAATCAATTAAGGAGACAACAATTAAATCTTGGTTTTCAAGGCAGCTCTGTGCAGTGGGGAAGCAAACGGGGTCAAACATCTGGCCCATCCCTCTTCTTACACTACTAGATTTGTGACTGTAGACAAATCACTTAGAGAAATCTCTGAATCCTGGTTTCTCCACCTATAAAATGCAGATGACACATCTTTCACATGGCATTTCTGGTGATTCAATAAGAGAGAAAATGTGTATCATGCGGTCAGGCATGTTCAACCAGTACCTGTTTATCATTAGTTCTGAAGTCCTTCTTATAACAATGACCCTCATGGGTTCATTTCATTACAAATAACTGGAATATTTAATTGGAAATTAAGAAGTGTGTGTCCTTGGAAGGTGAAGAGCCGTGAGCATTCATGCAGGCACACTCCTGTGGGCTCCTCCGTGGAGCCATGTAAGAGCAAAGAAGAGAGAGCTGATAGATTTTTCAAGTAAATGCTCTGGGACAATGAAGAATGTGATAAGGAAGCAACGTCTCCCAAAATGCAATGAAATGAAGCTCTTCCAAAAATAAATATCCTCGATTTTCAGAAAAACACGGTTTCTGTACAGGAACGTAGGAGGATGTGGCCAGAAAGGGACTTGCCAGGGTCTCCCGGGAACTGTCTTTACTTGGACTAATGCCCAAAAGCTCATGGCTGGACCATATTCCTCTATCAGATCAAATTAAATCATTTTCCTTTTGCAGAGGGAAATCAGTACTAAACCAAAAGTCATGTGCAAGATGGAGGAAAGGTAATGCAAGCCAGGTGGGGTGCTGGTTGTCATCATTCACACTCTGTCTCTCTCTCCATCTCCCTCTTCCTCTCTCCCTCTCCCTTCCCCTCTCTGTCCCTTCCCCCCTCTCCCAGATCTTTCCCTCCTTCTCTCTCTCTCTCTCTCTCTCTCTCTCTCTAAAAGAAAGGTGCATGAAAGCCTATAGGCAGTAGGAATTCTGCTGAAAAGTAATTTTGGTTGTAACTCTTAGTCATCTTGGTAATCTCTAGAACTGGCACATGGTAGGCACCCAATAAATGCTTTTTAGAAAAATGGGTAATGAATTCCCCAAAATTCTATGCAGAATTTGGCTGCAACAATTTTGGCTGGACACATTTAAAAGAAGCGCAAGGTAATATCCACTTAATCGATGAAAACAATCTCAATATAGCCCCCACAAAGCACCCAGCCCCATCCTGGTGTATTCCAAGATGAGTAAGCTACAAATATGACTAAATCAGTGAACATGTTCATTTTTTATTATGGCTGAAAACTATAAGTTGGTTAAATGTTAATTAAGTCTCCACAAATTATGGTTTTTGCTTTAGAAAAGTCGAACTCTTTTGGGGGCAATAATTAGATAGCAAGACTAGTTGTCTATAAAGGTCATTCTTGATCTATGAAAATAAAATACTGTGTTTGCATATTGAAGGGAATTTATCTTTCTTCTTTCCTTTGGAGTAATAAAGAATTACTCAGTAGATCCAAGAATAGTATGATATCATTTAGACATAAGCTCTAAAGGAGAGGATGGTCCACTTTTTCCCCAAAGGAAACCTCAAAAGATCTCTCATATGACCACCTATGTCCTACAAAAGTGCCAGGCCTGGAGAGCAGACAAAAGAAAATAAATTGACAAGAGTTAGTGCCCATCATTTAGAGCAGTATTTTATAATTGAAGTATAGTTAGCATACAGTATTATATTAGTTTCACATGTACAATATAATGATTCCACAATTCTATACACAGTAACCCACATGGGTCATGACATGTTGACCCAGCACACATACATGTACATTTTGCAAACCAAATTTATCTCTGAGTTACATTGATACATATCATCTCTGTTCTATCTGGTTTTGTAAAAGGCTGGTCCAGATCTACTAACCTGACTTCAAGGTTTTCAAAGGTTACTACCTGGCGTCTTTAAGGTTTGGGAAGGAGAACCATTACCTAGGACTATTTATTTTGCTTGAAGTTAATAATCAACACTACCACATGAGAACCCTACTAAGGCAGAGTACAACCTGTGATCTACAAAGTTCTCTGGTATTAACAGCTACCATTTTGTGGACATCTGCCATGCCAGTCAGATTCTGCATAAGGCAATACACAGTCAT